AAAGAGTTGGTTGCGCTTGAGCAAAGCTCTCGTCCTATCCAATTATATGCGCAACGCGTGTAGCCGATCCTCTTCCATAGAAGGGAAAGTCGGCATGGGGAAAGCCACAAGCTCCAAGGCCAGACAATTGGCATAAAGGTGGGTTTGGGCAACAAGGTAACCTTGGAAAAGCCCTGGGCAAACTGTAGGCACGAATGGTGAACTGACAGTGCATGAAACTCACTGGCTCTGCAGACTTAAGGGGACCAGCAAAGCTTAAAGATATTAGATCTCCTTTCCAGGCTGCTGTGAAATAGCCTCAAGCCCAATAGACAGGTCCCATGACGGGACTAAAGGCTGGGAACTGGACATAATCCCATGACGGGACTAAAGGCTGGGAACTGGACATAATCCCATGACGGGACTAAAGGCTGGGAACTGGACATAATCCCATGACGGGACTAAAGGCTGGGAACTGGACATAATCCCATGACGGGACTAAAGGCTGGGAACTGGACATAATCCCATGACGGGACTAAAGGCTGGGAACTGGACATAATCCCATGACGGGACTAAAGGCTGGGAACTGGACATAATCCCATGACGGGACTAAAGGCTGGGAACTGGACATAATCCCATGACGGGACTAAAGGCTGGGAACTGGACATAATCCCATGACGGGACTAAAGGCTGGGAACTGGACATAATCCCATGACGGGACTAAAGGCTGGGAACTGGACATAAGCGACGCATCCCCTTCATGAAACGACATAAAAGGAGGTGTTTTCCCACCGTGTTATCGTCAAAGCCTATACGACAGGCAGAGATGGCAACTAAATAGACCTTAACAGTAGAGAAAGCCTTCCCCTCTGTCCAAAATGTCCTGCAGGAAGCAGAAAACCTCAGAGACAGAACATTGGTAAGGAATTATCGGTTTTCGGTACAGTGAGCGTGTAGAACAAGCCCTAGCACTTTGGATAGTCTCAGTGACTCCAGATTTAGTTGCCAAGGCTTGTTGTACAGCAGGAGAATGATCTCCGCTATCCAGAGCTTGCCTTGCCATCAAGGGGCTACCACGATTAGGGATAAGCCTTCTTCCCTCACTCTGGCCAGAGTGGAGAGTATGAGATTGAGGGGAGGAAAAGCGTAAAGCCAAGGGTGTGCCAGCGCGTCCCCACCCCTAGTGGTGCGTCTCCTGCTAGCGCGAAGAACAATGGCCAGTGCACTTGACCAGATCTGTTCCACCACCTGGGGAAGGAGTCTCCAGTCCCTTTGATGGGGGTTCCCTCTGGAGAATAAGTCTGCTCCTACGTTCAGTACGCCCGGGACATGAGTCATGCTTAGGGACAGTAGGTGTGCCCTGCTCCACAGAATAATCCTGATGGATAGTCTCTGTAAGCGCAGGGAGTAAGTGCCACCCTGGTGGTTGATGTACGCCACTACGGTCTTATTGTCTGTTCTGATCAGGGCGTAACAATTCCACAGCGATGGAAAAAAGTGTATCAGTAACCACGTTTCCATCCATAGTTTTTATGCAAGTAAAGTCATCCCGTATAAAAAAAAAAAATCAAGACAGCTGTGATGGAAACAGGAAGTTTTGGGTACTGCATAAAGGGCTCCACCTGAGAGGAGGCAGGGGGTGCACTGTTGGCTGCCACGCACCCTTAGGTCGGGCGCCACTTCTTTCAGGGGAATCAAATGGGCTGGACCTTAATGCGGCTGCAGCGAAGGACCGTTTTCACCACTCTCGGCCCGTTAGGGGATCCGAACTGTGGGGTCGATGTCCGCTGTGTCTCCGGGGGCTTCCCACGGAAAGCCCTGGTGCCAGTGAATTGCCTTGGCTTGTGGAGGGGTAGGCCGGGTATCCACGATTCCCGGGTCTACGAGGCAGACAAAAGTTGAAGGCTTCACCCTCCGCTGGCCCAAACAGTTCCATCGGCTCGACAGAAGCTTCAAGGAAATCTGCTCTCTCTCATCCCACCCCTGCAAGGCTCATGGCACGGCCTCAACCTCGTCTGGCACCCCTGGAGGCTCGGAGGTTGAGGTCTGTGACAACACAGATCTCATTCCAAAGGTCTGGGTAAGGCTTGATGCTGGAGATGCACATCGGCCCGATAAGCCAGTAGTAGGGACGTGACGTTCAACGCCCATACAAAACGTGCGGCAGACATGTAGACATTTTGGTAGATAGACGCGGAGAAGCGGCCCGTCTTACCAGGGAGAAAAGTTCCTGTCATTGACGAGGCACTGGGTTGAGTTGGTTGGCCAGTGACAGATCGACCACCGGTGGCTTGTCGAGGCCCAGCTCCTCCATGTCCTTGACGTTCATGTCAGATTTGGACCTTGCCAGTCAAGGGTTTATCCCAATTGTGTTTGGCTTCCACTACGCAAGCTGGGATAGCTGTGAGAAATTAAATGACTGGAACAGTGCGAGAGGGGAGTTTCCTCTCTGCTCTGACACCCCCCACGTGTTCGGGCCACTCAAAACAGAGTCTGGTCCCTGCCCGTTTCCTGAAATCAATGAGCGAATATCTGTCATCCCACATCGATGCCCCGCTAAGGGCGGCAGAGGGCCGAGCTGCTTGTCCCCTTCTTGTCCCCCATCCTCTGGGCCCTGGAAAAGTGGGTGAAAGTCCTCGGGGTAGCCATCCAAGACGTCGGCCCATGGGTCTGCGAGGCTATGTCAACGCTCGAGTTAAGAGTGGGAGATTAACCACGTTGGGCTGCTTTGCACATGACCGGGGGTCGTCGAACGCTGCTTCCATGTGTTCGAGACCCGGGCAGATGACACACATGTTGTCCAATATGGTAGCCCCGCATGTTCACGGGTGCGCCGGTAGGGGCCTTGCTCAGTACCCCTTGGGCCGAGCTAGCAGGTTCAATGGCTCCAAATAACAGCTAATTCGAGAACAAAGTGAAACGTAACTACCGTTCGCCACTTGGGCTAGTAGGCTAGCGAGTTAGCACAGTGCTGGCCGGAGAAGCGAATCCTTTTAACAATGTGAAAGCAGCTAGCGTTCGCCACGAGGGCTAGCATCATGGCTAGCCAAAGGAAGCTAGCGCTTTGTTGGTCTTGCGATGAACAAAAGTGTGCCTCTCGACTGATAAGCAGTGACGCTAGGATGATCAGTCTGGTCAACACCAGTAGTGGGTTGAACTAAATGAGAAAGCGAACTAGTAATTCTACCCTTCCAGGTAGAAAAGCTAGTCGGTAGGATAGCTGGCCTTGTCTCCTTAGCTAGCTGTGTGATGCTAGCTACAACAGGAGACGAAGGAAGAAAAAGCGGTGAAGCAAATTCATTTAGCATTTTAGTCATTTAGCAGAAGCTCTTATCCGGAGCGACTTACAGGAGCAATTAGGGTTAAGTGCCTTGCTCAAGGGCACATTGACAGATTTTTCACCTAGGGCTTTCCTTTAGGTAAAGTCACCCAACACAAAAGACGGATGGCCCTGCGCTCGGCGGCGTAACCTCACCGGCACACCTTTGAACAGTTAAAACAGGAAAACAGATCAAGCCGTGCTGAGGAGAGCAAAGTAGAACCCTTCTGTGAGGAAGAGAGGTGAGAATGATCAGAGGAGAGGGGGGTGGCTCTTTAGTATGAGGGGAGGGGCTCCCTCATTCGCCACTCGACCTGTCTGTTTCCTTTATTGAGAGTATTTTAACTTTTTGTATTGTTTGTTGGTTTGGCAATGCCACTGTCAGTCAGAGAAACATGCTGAGAAGGATTATTACCACAGCAAGTAAGGTACTTGGAGTCAAACAGACAGGCCTGGATGAGATCTTTAAGGTCAGGGCCCTCCGTAAGGCTCACAAAATCATTTTAGACCCAAGTCACCCCCTGTACCTGGACTTTGAATTACTCCCCTCTGGGCGTAGGTATAGGGCACCCCTCAGCAGGAAAAATAGAACGAGACAATCATTTGTGCCAGGTGTGATATCCCTCTTAAATAGCTCGGGCAAATGTTCCCATTGACCCCGTAAGGCCAGCAGGCTAGTCTTTGTTTTAAATGTTTTAAATGTTTTATTTCTTATTTCTTACTTTTATTGGTGCGTGACTGTTATTGAAAGTTGTATTGTCAATCTTGTTTTGTATTTAACGCCACTTTAAATGTGTACATGACACTGCAACAAAATTTCCCCATCCTTCAAGCTACTTAGGAAATTCTGGTGAATCCCACAGATGTCGAAATGAATAATTGAAAGAGAACTCAAATTAACTAATCAACTTAGGTGCTGAATACTATCTTGAGATACATGCACAAATAACTAAAACTACTATGGTAAAAGTCAATGGAACACGGTTCTGCAGCTCAGGCTAGGATGAACCCCTTAACAACATGATGGTCCCCTATCCTGCAGTCGAATAACCAAAGCGCTCTCTAGTGGCCTCTTGGGTGGAATGTGATTAATATTTTTCATAATTAATAAACATTCATTTTTTAAATGCAGAGAATCTGATGTTTCTATGTCAAGCGGTTTTGTTATATTTCAGTCTTCTGTGATGTATATAAAGTGTATTATTGGGATGCAAACTCAAAATGTAATACATTTTAACTCTATATCTGACATGGTAAAGGTGTCTTATTGTTTTAAGCTCATAGCCATGTGTGTGAGGGGTTTGTTTAAGACCCTGATTTAGCCCCTTGGCCTGTAGTAGTTGTACTGATCTAGGATCCGTTTTGTATTTTAAATCATAATGAATAAGAGAAGAGACCTGAACCTAGATTAACATTCCTACTCTCAGACGCTTTGTGGATATGGGCTCTGGTCCGTCACTCTGGTCCGTCCGTCACTCTGGTCCGTCCGTCACTCTGGTCCGTCCGTCACTCTGGTCCGTCCGTCACTCTGGTCCGTCCGTCCTGGTGTACTGAGGGAGCTGTCAGTCATGTCAGTTCTAGGCCCTCACCTGATTGAACTAATCAACAGCTGAATGTTAAGCAGATTAGTTGAATCAGGTGTGCTTGGGGCCGGGCTACAACTATAATGTGTAACATTAGGGCTACTCAAGGAATGTGTGTATCACTTGTCTTTGTCTTCCTGTGCTCCAGTCTTGTCCACTAGTCCACTCTGGGCTCTCAGTGCCTGGCTGCTGGCTGAGATGAAGCTGATCCAGTGCTGCAGATCCTCAGGGTAGTCGGGACACTCCACCTGAACACACACAGAGAAGAGGACTGAGTGATATCCCATGCATCAAAGGCCCATCATATGGACTGAGTGATATCCCATGCATCAAAGGCCCATCATATGGACTGAGTGATATCCCATGCATCAAAGGCCCATCATATCTCCCCCCTCCTCCCTCTCCTTCCTCTCCTCTCCTCTCCTTCCTCTCCTCTCTCCTTCCTCTCCCCTCCTCCCTCTCCTCTCCTCTCCCCTCCTTCACCTCTCATCTCTCCTTCCTCTCCTCTCCCCTCTCTCCTCCCTCTCCTTCCTCTCCTCTCTCCTCCCTCTCCTCTCTCCCGCTTCTCCTCCCTCTCCTCCCTCTCCTCTCCTCTCCTCTCCTCTCCTTCCTCTCCTTCCTCTCCTCCCGTCCTCCCTCACCTCCCTTCCTCTCCTACCTTCCGCTTGCAGAGCAGCTGTAGGATGCTCTCAGGGTTGCTACGGAGAACGTTCTGTCTGCATAGCATCACCGCGGAGATGAACCCGTCGCCCTGGGAGACAAACCGCTGCTCCACGAAGAATGACTTGTCGTCCCATGCCACGATGCGGGTGCGCAAGTCAAATGCTTCCCCGAAGGCCAGCGAGCGTCGGTAGCGAATGGTGGAGGCCCCGACCACCATAGTGGCCCCCAGGGTCCGCAGCGCTTTACAGATCCCGTTACGCATGTAATGGTGGAACCTGGAGGAGGAGGGAACGGGTACAGACATCACCGGATGCAAATACGTACATCTGAGGGATTCTCATGAAACCAGTTTTTAAAATGTCTGCAGCAAATTGAGTTACAAAACCATGATGCATCTGCAAAAAATCAACTATCATTCTGAGAACTAAGATGTGTAGTTTTAGTTTTAGGGAAAGTGTCTTACCTGAATTTTTGTACATTTTCACCACTAATTCTTATTACCAAAATGCATCCGGATTAAATGCGGAAGTATTTTATACAATTTTACTTTAGAAAAACCTAACCCTTTGAATAAAACACAAAATATGGTACTGTAGTTTGTCCATAAATCATAAAAATTGTGAAGTTGTTTACATTCAAATATGTTTATTACATAAAAACACACCCACGATGCATTATCTAGAGCAGGGATCCTTAAAACTATTTCAGCTCCAGACCCAAATGAGACATTGACCGTCCTCCCCTGACCCAAATCGTCCTCCATTAACCCAAAGAAGAAAGTGTGTGTGATTATAGATGTATTCTCATAACTCAGGACCCACCTGCCCAGGGAACTCTGGGAACCCTGGTTTAGAGGAGCAGTCCACAGGTTAAAGTTCATTTATTCGCTTATATACCTTAAAACACCCCCGTTACCCCACTTGGCCTTCTCACTACCGAAATGGCTAAAACGCTAAATTGGGAAAAAGTCAGAGTACCATTACCTTACCAACATGGAGGCATGAATGGGCTTTAGTGATGTAGACAATCTTTGCGGGTTAATAATGGCTGTCTCCTTTTATTTGATTGATTGAGCTATGGGCCTCATTACCGTCCTTTTTAGGTCCGTTTCGGTAATGAGAACCTTAATTTCGGTAATGATAATAAGCTAATTCTAATGTATAGTCAATGGGTGTGCTATGCTGGTAACTTTATGTATTTACTTGGACCACGCCTTAAACATACTGTATAGATTTTTTGTAAAACAACAGTTATTTGATTAAGTTTGAAATATGGGGTTTATAAACAGTAATATAATAAACCCCATTTATTTTACTTAAAGTCACAATTGGCAGTTTGTGTTTCGGCAAAGAGCAACGCTACCACTGAAAGGAGAATATCCTCCATTTTGACGTGTCCCTGATTTCAAACTTACCTATACTGTTGTTAATAATATCCCAAGGCAGTTTTTGGTCCATATCTCACGTATTTTGAAACGTGTAGACATATTGTGTCATGCCGTTTGCCCATAGGATCCCATTCAATCCAGAAATACATCTAAAATACCTTAAAACCCCAAATATCCACGTCCACCAATATTACCTGTATTACCTTGGATAGATATATTTTATTACAAATAAAACAGAAATACCTTATCTACATAAGTATTCAGACCCTTTGCTATGAGACTTGAAATTCAGCTCAGGTGCATCCTGTTTCCATTGATCATCCTTGAGATGTTTCTACAACTTGATTGGAGTCCACCTGTGGTAAATTCAATTGATTGGACATGATTTGGAAAGGCACACACCTGTCTATATAAAAAGGTCCCCACAGTTGACAGTGGATGTCAGAGCAAAAACCAAGCCATGAGGTCGAAGGAATTGTCCATAGAGCTCCGAGACAGGATTGTGTCGAGGCAGGGTACCAAAACATTTATTCAGCATTGAAGGTCCCCAAGAACACAGTGGCCTCCATCATTCTTAAATGGAAGAAGTTTGGCACCACCAAGACTCTTCCTAGAGCTGGCCGCCCGGCCAAACTGAGCTCCAGAGTTCCTCTGTGGAGATGGGAGAACCTTCCAGAAGGACCAGCATCCCTGCAGCACTCCACCAATCAGGCCTTTATGGTAGTGGCCAGACGGAAGCCACTCCTCAGTAAAAGGCACATGACAGCCAGCTTGGCTTCAGGCCAAGTCTCTGAATGTCCTTGAGTGGCCCAGCCAGAGCCTGGACTTGAACCCGATCGAACATCTCTGGAGAGACCTGAAAATAGCTGTGCAGCGAAGCTCCCCATCCAACCTGACAGAGCTTGAGAGGATCTGCAGAGAAGAATGGGAGAAACTGTCCAAATATAGGTGTACCAAGCTTGTAGCGTCATACCCAAGAAGACTTGAGGCTGTAATCGCTGCCAAAGGTGCTTCAACAAAGTACTGAGTAAAGGGTCTGAATACTTATGTAAATGTAAATGTCAATGAGCTTGAGGCCTTGATCTGCCCCTACTTAGATGGTAATGTGCCGTGGCAACCTTCGCTCTCTCTCTCCCGCTACTCTCTCCTCTTCCATCCTATCATCTCTTCCCTCTGCTAAATCCTTCTCCCTCCGATCTCCTGATTCTGCCTCCTCAACCCTCCTCTCCTCCCTTTCTGCATCTTTTGACTCTCTATGTCCCCTATCCTCCCGGCCGGCTCGGTCCTCCCCTCCTGCTCCGTTGCTTGACGACTCATTGCGAGCTCACAGAAAAGGGCTCCGGGCAGCTGAGCGGAAATGGAGGAAAACTAGACTCCCTGCGGACCTGTCATCTTTTCACTCCCTCCTCTCTACATTCTCTTCCTCTGTTTCTGCTGCTACAGCCACTTTCTACCACTCTAAATTTCAAGCCTCTGCCTCTAACCCTAGGAAGCTCTTTGCCACCTTCTCCTCCCTGCTGAATCCTCCTCCTCCTCCCTCCTCCCTCTCTGTGGATGACTTCGTCAACCATTTTGAAAAGAAGGTCGACGACATTCTATCCTCATTTATTAAGTCAAATGACACCGCTGGTCCTGCTCACGCTGCCCTACCCTATGCTTTGACTTCTTTCTCCCCTCTCTCTCCAGATGAAATCTTGCGACTTGTGACGGCCGGCTGCCCAACAACCTGCCCGCTTGACCCTATCCCCTCCTCTCTTCTCCAGCCCATTTCCGGAGACCTTCTCCCTTACCTCACCTCGCTCATCAACTCATCCTTGACCGCTGGCCATGTCCCTTCCGTCTTCAAGAGAGCGAGAATTGCACCCCTCCTCAAAAAACCTACACTCGATCCCTCCGATGTCAACAACTACAGACCAGTATCCCTTCTTTATTTTCTCTCCAAAACTCTTGAGCGTGCCGTCTCTAGCCAACTCTCCTGCTATCTCTCTCAGAATGACCTTCTTGATCCAAACCAGTCAGGTTTCAAGACTGGTCATTCAACTGAGACTGCTCTTCTCTATGTCACAGAGGCTCTCCGCACTGCTAAAGCTAACTCTCTCTCCTCTGCTCTCGTCCTTCTAGACCTATCTGCTGCCTTTGATACTGTGAACCATCAGATCCTCCTCTCCACCCTCTCCGAGTTGGGCATCTCCAGCGCTGCTCACTCTTGGATTCCGTCCTAACTGACAGGTCGCTCCTACCAGGTGGCGTGGCGAGAATCTGTCTCCGCACTACGTGCTCTCACCACTGGTGTCCCCCAGGGCTCAGTTCTAGGCCCTCTCCTATTCTCTCTATACACCAAGTAACTTGGCTCTGTCATATCCTCACATGGTCTCTCCTATCATTGCTACGCAGACGACACACAATTAATTTTCTCCTTTCCCCCTTCTGATAACCAGGTGGCGAATCGCATCTCTGCATGTCTGGCAGACATATCAGAGTGGATGTCGGATCACCACCTCAAGCTGAACCTCGGCAAGACGGAGCTGCTCTTCCTCCCGGGGAAGGACTGCCCGTTCCATGATCTCGCCATCACGGTTGACAACTCCGTTGTGTCCTCCTCCCAGAGTGCAAAGAACCTTGGCGTGACCCTGGACAACACCCTGTCATTCTCCGCTAACATCAAAGCGGTGACCCGATCCTGCAGGTTCATGCTCTGCAACATTCGCAGAGTACGACCCTACCTTACACAGAAAGCGGCACAGGTCCTAATCCAGGCACTTGTCATCTCCCGTCTGGATTACTGCAACTCGCTGTTGGCTGGGCTCCCTGCCTGTGCCATTAAACCCCTACAACTCATCCAGAACGCTGCAGCCCGTCTGGTGTTCAACCTTCCCAAGTTCTCTCATGTCACCCCGCTCCTCCGCACACTCCACTGGCTTCCAGTTGAGGCTCGCATCTACTACAAGACCATGGTGCTTGCCTCCGGAGCTGTGAGGGGAACGGCACCTCCTTACCTTCAGGCTCTGATCAGACCCTACACCCAAACGAGGGCACTACGTTCATCCACCTCTGGCCTGCTAGCCCCCCTACCTCTACGGAAGCACAGTTCCCGTTCAGCCCAGTCAAAGCTATTCGCTGCTCTGGCACCCCAATGGTGGAACAAGCTCCCTCACGATGCCAGGACAGCAGAGTCACTGACCACCTTCCGGAGACACTTGAAACCCTACCTCTTTAAGGAATACCTGGAATAGTATAAAAGTAATCCTTCTACCCCCCCACCCCCCTAAAAAAAAAGTGGTTGTCCCACTGGCTATCATAAGTTGAATGCACCAATTTGTAAGTCGCTCTGGATAAGAGCGTCTGCTAAATGACGTAAAATGTAAATGTAATATTTCAGTTTTTAAATAAAAATAAATTAAATAAAAAACCTGGTTTTGCTTCGTCATTTTGGTGTATTGTGTGTAAATTGATGAATTGAATCTATTTTAGAATAAGGCTGTAACACAACATGTGGAACAAGGCAAATGGTCTGAATACTTTCCTCATCAATCTACACACAATACACCATAATGACAAAGCCAAAACAGTTTGTTTTTTTAAGAAGATTTAAAAAAAAACATTAATATCACATTTACATAAGTATTCAGACCCTTTACTCAGTACTCTGTTGAAGCACCTTTGGTAGCGATTACAGCCTTGACTCTTCTTGGGTAGAAACATCTCAAGGATGATCAATGGAAAGAGGATGCACCTGAGCTCAATTATCGAGTCTCATAGCAAAGGGTCTGAACACTTATGTAAATGAGGTTTTTATTTTTATTTTTATAAATGCGCGAACATTTCTACAAACCTGTTTTAACTTTTTAATTATGGGGTATTGTGTGTAAATTGACGAGGAAAACAATTAATTTAATCTATTATTGAATAAGGCTGTAACGTAACAAAATGTGGACAAAGGGAAGGGGTCTGAATACATTCCGAATGCACTACCAGTCAAACGTTTGGACACACCTACTCATTCAAGAGTTTTTCTTTATTTGTACTATTTTCTACATTGTAGAATAATACTGAAGACATCAAAACGATGACATAACACATATGGAATCATGTAGTAACCAAAAAAAAGTGTTAAACAAATCAAAATATATTTTATATTTGCGATTCTTCAAAGTAGCCACCCTTTGCCTTGATGACAGCTTTGCACACTCTTGGCATTCTCTCAACCAGCTTCACCTGAGGAGCGCTTTTTCCAACAGTCTTGAAGGAGTTCCCACATAAGAATCTCAAATACAAAATATATTTTGATTTGTTTAACACTTTTTTGGTTACTACATCCAAACTTTTGACTGGTACTGTACACACACACACAATCTTTCTTGAGTCAATAAGTATTCAACCCCTTTGTTATGACAAGCCTAAATTAGTTCAGGAGTAAAGATTTGTTTAACAAGTCACATAATAAAGTTGCATGGACTCACTCTGTGTGCAATAATAGTGTTTAACATGATTTTTGTATGACTACCTCATCACTACCCCACACATACAATTATCTGTAAGGTCCCTCAGTCGAGCAGTGAATTTCAAACACAGATTCAACCAAAAAGACCAGGGAGGTTTTCCAATGGGTCGCAAAGAGCACCTATTGGTAGATGGGTAATTTTTTTTAAAATAAGCAGACACTGAATATCCCTTTGAGCATGGTGGAGTTATTAATTACACTTTGGATGGTGTATCAATACACCCAGTCACTACAAAGATACAGGCGTCCTTCCTAACTCTGTTGCCGGAGAGGAAGGAAACCGCTCAGGGATTTCACCATTAGGCCAATGGTGACTTTAAAACAGTTACAGAGTTTAATGGCTGTGGTAGCAGAAAACTGAGGATGGATCAACAACATTGTAGTTATTCCACAATACTAACCTAAATGACAGAGTGAAAAGAAGGAAGCCTGTACAGAATAACAATTTTCCAAATCATGCATCCTTTTTGCAATAAGGCCCTTAGGACTGACCCCATTTAGTCGACTGGTCGATTGTTCGGTTGATAGGCTGTTGGTCGACCACAATAAATTTTTAAATCGAGCAGTCGCAAATATATATATATATTTTTTTTATGGCACGCCTGTCTGATTCACGCCTGTCTGATTCACGCCTGTCTGATTCACGCCTGTCTGATTTCTCGCCTGTCTGATTCACGCCTGTCTCAGTGGACTAATCCATTGCGGAGGCCACAGGGATCACCAGTATCACCAGTAGTACATTTACCGTTAATTCCCATATTTTCCAATCTGCAATGTTTGCTTGGTTACGGTAATTTCTGTTAATGCATTTAATATATTATTATTATTCCAGTCTTTTACCGTTTTCTGTCGGAGTGGACGGCACAACCTAGGCTACGCTTGTGGGGACCAAGGCTTGGTTTATTTCCATTTACAAGTTGTCAATGTATTCATTGTAGCGCTCCTGTCAATGTTGAGTAATGACGCGCATTAATTATGCATAGAAGTAGTCCTAGGCTACCTGGCCTGTGTATTAATGTAGGCCTATAAAATGTGCCCATTTGGGGATCTGATAGTATTTCTGATTGTCTTAAATCACCACCACTGTGGAGCTTCTCAAAGAAATGTTTTCTTCACCTCGAAACAGCAAGTAAACAAAGTCTGTTTTTACATCCATTGAGAATGACAATAGTTCCTCAACGTAGCCTATTTAAAAAATCTTTCCAGCTCTCTCTCCTTCGATAACCACTTAGCATGAAAGGAGAAAAAATGTCATGCTCTGATCTGGTGGAAACGTCATAAAAAAAAGCCTACCTGATTACTTCTTATCCCTTGTGCAAACAGCCTCCAGCTGTGTCCGTCTGTCCGGAGCTCACTGGTGCAGGGAAAAACTCTGAGGAACCAGAATATTTTATACAATGTTGCAAGTTTGGTAGCGGAAGCTTCAGGCCAGACTCAAGTTAATTGTTGATACAATGTTTCTTGTTCGTTGCAGACTGGCCATGCATAGCCAATGTGATTTATAGGACATTTATTTTTATTTAGGATATTTTCTACCTGTTATTTTACATAGTTGGCATTGGCAATATTAGTTACTTTTAGAATTTTGATTAACCACATGATGATTTTGAGACACAAATACTTATTATAAAATAAACTGTTCCACGAAAATGTACATATGAAAATCTAAACTAGAAATGGTAAGATAACTTGGCACTCCAAATGGAAAAGGACCCCTGGTGTAGACTATTACCTACAGGCAACTTCAGGAGCGTAACGGCAGAATCTGCAAAGGCCAGCGGCAGCGGGAGGAAGAGGGTCGGGAGGAGGAGGGTCGGGAGGAGGGGGGTCGGGAGGAGGAGGGTCGGGAGGAGGGGGGTCGGGAGGAGGGGGGGGTCGGGAGGAGGAGGGTCGGGAATCGTTTATTTTTTCCCTTCTTTTGGTTAAGCTATCTTGATCTTTGGTTCCCTCTTGAGTCATTTGTGTGTCTTAATTATTCATTCACAGTGTGCTTAAAGCATCAGACAAGCTCAGAAGCCTACATATGGTTGATTTTATTAAAACACAGGTGTGTCTATATAAGGAAAAATACACGTTTAAAACGTCGACCAATCGACCAAGATTTATTTCATCGGGGACAGCCCTAAAGGCACTTAAGTAAAACTGCTAAAAATGTGGCAAAGAAATTAACTTTATGTCCTGAATGTTTGGGGAAAATCCAACACAACACATCACTGAGTACCACTCTTCATATTGTCAAGCACGGTGGTGGCTGCATCATGTTATGGGTATGAAAACAATGAGAAGCGTTGCTTTAGTAGTCGTGGAAATTGTGGTAAAATGCATAATATCTGACGAGAATAATAATAATGAAATAGATCAGCACAAATTCTAATCTCAGTGAATCCGGCCCACTGCTCTTTCACCTCTATCTATCCTAAAACATACAAAACACTTCAATATGTTTTTAAAGTAAAGCAGTAAAGTGGCCCAGTAAAACAGGCCTGTGTTCGTGTGTTCGTCTAACCTGGCGAAGTCACACTCCCGGAGGTATCTGGCGTTGTTCATGTGACCCATATAGTCCAGGTCATGAGGTAGGACCCTCCCAGGAACACTCTGCTCTGCCAGGACGTCCCAGACCGGGGGTTGAAACCAGGCCTGCACCACCACCACCACCCCCCGCAGGAAGTACCAGACATCCAGACAGGAGAAGAGCAGCAGCAGCAGGCCCCCCAGAGCACACAGCAACATCTCCCTGGAGGGGGGGGAAGAGGTAGAGTTACACTACAGCAACATCTCCCTGGAGGGGGGGGGAAGAGGTAGAGTTACACTACAGCAACATCTCCCTGGAGGGGGGGGGAAGAGGTAGAGTTACACTACAGCAACATCTCCCTGGAGGGGGGGGGAAGAGGTAGAGTTACACTACAGCAACATCTCCCTGGAGGGGGGGGGAAGAGGTAGAGTTACACTACAGCAACATCTCCCTGGAGGGGGGGGGGAAGAGGTAGAGTTACACTACAGCAACATCTCCCTGGAGGGGGGGGAAGAGGTAGAGTTACACTACAGCAACATCTCCCTGGAGGGGGGGGGAAGAGGTAGAGTTACACTACAGCAACATCTCCCTGGAGGGGGGGGGAAGAGGTAGAGTTACACTACAGCAACATCTCTCTGGAGGGGGGGGGGAAGAGGTAGAGTTACACTACAGCAACATCTCCCTGGAGGGGGGGGGAAGAGGTAGAGTTACACTACAGCAACATCTCCCTGGAGGGGAGGGGAAGAGGTAGAGTTACACTACAGCAACATCTCCCTGGAGGGGAGGGGTGGAGGAGAGAGAGAAAGGGTTTCAATTTCCAGGTGAACAGAAGAAAAGTCACAGATAAAGTAAATACAAAAATCTAACTGGTTTATGACAAGTTGCAACAGGGAGACAACGCCAGAACGGAAACAGAGAAAAAATATATATATATTATATCCTAATCAGACAGTACCAAATGTTCTGTAAAAACCAGCGGCCCTTCATATCCTAATCAGACAGTACCAAATGTTCTGTAAACAACTAGCCTTTCATAATCCTAATCAGACAGTACCAAATGTTCTGTAAAACACCAGCTAGGCCCTTCATATCCTAATCAGACAGACCAATGTTCTGTAAACACCAGCTAGGCCCTCATATCCTAATCAGACAGTACCAAATTCAGACAGTCCCCAAATGTTCTGTAAACACCAAGTAGGCCCTTCATATCCTAATCAGACGCACCAAATGTTCGGGTAAACACCAGGCCAGCAACCTCATATCCTAATCAGACAGCACCAAATGTTCTGTAAATACCAGCCAGCCCTTCATATCCTAATCAGACATCCAAAGTTTTTCTGTAACACCAGCTAGGCCTTCATTCTAATCAGACAGCACCAAATGTTCTGTAAACACGCTAGGCCCTTATATCCTAACAGCAGTACCAAAGTTTGTAAACACAGCTAGGCCCCATATCCTAATCAGACAGTACCAAAGTTTGTAAACACCAGCCAGGCCCTTCATATCCTATCAGACAGCACAAAGTTCTAAACACCAGCTAGGCCCTTCATTCCAATCAGACAGCACCAAATGTTCTGTAAACACCAGCTAGGCCTTCATATCTAATCAACAGCACCAAATGTTCTGTAAACACCAGTAGGCCTTATATCCTAATCAGACAGTACCAAATGTTCTGTAAACACCAGCTAGGCCCTTCATATCCTAATCAGACAGTACCAAATGTTCTGTAAACACCAGCCAGGCCCTTCATATCCTAATCAGACAGCACCAAATGTTCTGTAAACACCAGCTAGGCCCTTCATATCCTAATCAGACAGTACCAAATGTTCTGTAAACACCAGCTAGGCCCTTCATATCCTAATCAGACAGCACCAAATGTTCTGTAAACACCAGCTAGGCCCTTCATATCCTAATCAGACAGCACCAAATGTTCTGTAAACACCAGCTAGGCCCTTCATATCCTAATCAGACAGTACCAAATTCAGACAGTACCAAATGTTCTGTAAACACCAGCTAGGCCCTTCATATCCTAATCAGACAGCACCAAATGTTCTGTAAACACCAGCCAGGCCCTTCATATCCTAATCAGACAGCACCAAATGTTCTGTAAATACCAGCCAGGCCCTTCATATCCTAATCAGACAGTACCAAATGTTCTGTAAACACCAGCTAGGCCCTTCATATCCTAATCAGACAGCACCAAATGTTCTGTAAACACCAGCTAGGCCCTTCATATCCTAATCAGACAGTACCAAATGTTCTGTAAACACCAGCTAGGCCCTTCATATCCTAATCAGACAGTACCAAATGTTCTGTAAACACCAGCCAGGCCCTTCATATCCTAATCAGACAGCACCAAATGTTCTGTAAACACCAGCTAGGCCCTTCATATCCTAATCAGACAGTACCAAATGTTCTGTAAACACCAGCTAGGCCCTTCATATCCTAATCAGACAGTACCAAATGTTCTGTAAACACCAGCCAGGCCCTTCATATCCTAATCAGACAGTACCAAATGTTCTGTAAACACCAGCTAGGCCCTTCATATCCTAATCAGACAGTACCAAATGTTCTGTAAACACCAGCTAGGCCCTTCATATCCTAATCAGACAGTACCAAATGTTCTGTAAACACCAGCCAGGCCCTTCATATCCTAATCAGACAGCACCAAATATTCTGTAAACACCAGCTAGGCCCTTCATATCCTAATCAGACAGTACCAAATGTTCTGTAAACACCAGCTAGGCCCTTCATATCCTAATCAGACAACACCAAATGTTCTGTAAACACCAGCTAGGCCCTTCATATCCTAATCAGACAGTACCAAATGTTCTGTAAACACCAGCCAGGCCCTTCATATCCTAATCAGACAGCACCAAATGTTCTGTAAACACCAGCCAGGCCCTTCATATCCTAATCAGACAGCACCAAATGTTCTGTAAACACCAGCTAGGCCCTTCAAATCCTAATCAGACAGCACCAAATGTTCTGTAAACACCGGCTAGGCCCTTCATATCCTAATCAGACAGCAACAAATGTTCTGTAAACACCAGCTAGGGTTAAAGAGAACGGGAGAGAGGGGAGAGAGACAGACAGGTGTTACACTAGACCAGTTCAGGAGCATCTCTCTCACATGTCAGGTTTCACTTTAGGGAGGGAAAGACAGGGCCATGCCTCTGGTTTCACTGGCCTTGTTCTATGGGACTTCAGGAAATTAACTATATACTTTTTTTGTAGGATCTGTTATGCATTTCCCTTTGAATTCAGCTAGCCGGTTCATCAGCCTCAGACACTATCCTGTTAAAGTAGCTTGCTAGCCAGAATCCGACTAGACGGTCATTACACGAAACGCGGCTACGCCATGATCAGGACAGCGCGGCGCGAGATATAGCTCGGAAAACGTGCCTCAATCCAGGGATGGGAGATGGCAGTGTACAAAGGGGAGTTGGTCCCCCATTTGCTGCTATAACAACCTCCACTCTTCTGGGAAGGCTTTCCACTAGATGTTGGAACATTGCTGCGGGGACTTGCTTCCATTCACCCACAAGAGCATTAGTGAGGTCGGGCACTGATGTTGGGCGATTAGGCCTGGCTCGCAGTCGGCGTTCCAATTCATTCCAAAGGTGTTCGATGGGGTTGAAGTCAGGGCTCTGTGCAGGCCAGTCAAGTTCTTCCACACTGATCTCGACAAATCATTTCTGTATGGACCTCGCTTTGTGCACGGGGGCATTGTCATGCTGAAACAGGAAAGGGCCTTCCCCAAACTGTTGCCACAAAGTTGGAAGCACAGAATCGTGCTTCCAACTCTGGAACTAAGGGGCCTAACCCGAACCATGAAAAACTGCCCCAGACCATTATTCCTCCTCCACCAAACTTCACAGTTGGCACTATGCATTCGAGCAGGTAGCGTTCTCCTGGCATCCGCCAAACCCAGATTCTTCCGTCGGACTGCCAGATGGTGAAGTGTGTTTCATCACTCCAGAGAACGCGTTTCCACTGCTCCAGAGTCCAATGGCGGAGAGCTTTACACCACTCCAGCCGACGCTTGGCATTGCGCATGGTGATCTTAGGCTTGTGTGTGGCTGCTCGGCCATGGAAACCCATTTCATGAAGCTCCCTGACGAACAGTTCTTGTGCTTCCAGAGGCAGTTTGGAACTCGGTAGTGAATGTTGCAACCAAGGACAGACGATTTTTAAGCGCTACACGCTTCAGTACTCTGCGGTCCCTTTCTGTGAGCTTGTGTGGCCTTCCACTTCGCGGCTAAGCCGTTGTTGCACCTAGACGTTTCCACTTCACAATAACAGCACTTACAGTTGACCGGGGCAGCTCTAGCAGGGCAGAAATGTGACGAACTGACTTGTTGGAAAGGTGGCATCCTATGACGGTGCCACGTTGAAAGTCACTGAGCTCTTCAGTAAGGCCATTCTACTGCCAATGATTGCATGGCTGTGTGCTCCATTTTATACACCTGTCAGCATTGGGTGTGGCTGAAATAGCTGAATCCACTAATTTGAAGGGTCCACATACTTTTATATACAGTACCAGTCAAAAGTTTGAACACACCTACTCATTCAAGGGGGTGGCTACTTTGAAGAATCTCAAATATAAAATATACTTTGATTTGTTTAACACTGTTTTGGTTACTACATGATTCCATATGTGTTATTTCATAGTTTTGATGTCTTCACTATTATTCTACAATGTAGAAAATAGTAAGAATAAAGAAAAACCCTGGAATGAGTAGGTGTGTCCAAACTTTTGACTGGTAGTGTATATAGTGTATTTCTGCTACTTTCTACGATGTATCCTGTTGCCTAGTCACTTTACCCTATAGCGCAATGTCGCCTATTCTCGGATGCTATTTACCTGAAACCGAAGTAAATTAATGTGGCTAAAAAGATTAGACACTTTTTACTGCCCATTGCATACCTGATTGTTTAGCTGAAGGTATCCTATAACATTGTGCCAAGTGACAATTTTCTCTGTATTAACATATTTGATGCATGGTCGGCTGCTGGACACAAATGGTTATCTAACCTCGGACACTTGGTCTCTAGTTTTCTGTTTTATTAATGCAACGTGTTCCTGGTTACAACGGTGATTTACACTGACCTGCTATGGGTGGCAGCTTCTCATATCAGGTCAATACTGCACTGACCTGCTAAGGGTGGCAGCTTCTCATATCAGGTCAATACTGCACTGACCTGCTAAGGGTGGCAGCTTCTCATATCAGGTCAATACTGCACTGACCTGTTGAGGGTAACAGCTTCTCATATCAGGTCAATACTGCACGACAGCTTCTCATATCAGGTCAACACTGCACTGACCAGCTAAGGGTGACAGCTTCTCATATCAGGTCAATACTGCCATCTACTGGTCATTAAAGGTCAAACGTGTCTACTGCACCATGAATGGCATTTAAACAAGAGGGAATCAATGAAATCAAATGGAAATCATGTGTAATGCATCAAAGTAATGCATTGAATTCGTATTGGTTTAATGTGTCAACATTTATTGATCTTGAATCCATTTATTGATCTTGAATCGCATCACAATATCTGCATATGATTCCAAATCCGTCAGCTGAGAAACGCATTTTATCATTCCGCTAAGGATCTCTGTCTACCAGCAGGAAAACTAATTTCTTAATTTGATCCTCGTTGGCTTCCGTAGGTATGGGTGTCATGGAAACTAAATCAACAAATGCTTGCCTCCATGACCTAAATGGAGAGAGATTTGAGGTGATGAGTGAGGAGCGGGCAGGAGCCGGTCAGGGCGAGTTCATAATTGAAGAGCTTAAACTGGACATTTGGTCACATGTAGAAGTGAGGCCGTCTTTATATCACTAAATATGCACGTAGAGTCGTGAAATTGTGTATTTGTACTGTTGAATACAGTGCCTTCGGAAATACTTTTCCCGCATTTTGTTATGTTACAGACATATTCTAAAATGGATTAAATCGTTTTTCCCCCTCATCAATCTACACACAATACCCCATAATGACAAAGCAAAAACAGGATTTTAGAAATGTTTGCTAATTTAAAAAAAATACAAACGGAAATTTCACATTTACACAAGTATTATGACCCTTTACTCAGTACTTTGTTGAAGCATATTTGGCAGCAATTACAGCAACAAGTTTTCTTGGGTATGATGCTACAAGCTTGGCACACCTGTATTTGGGGAGTTTCTCCCATTCTTCTCTGCAGATCCTCTCAAGCTCTGTCAGGTTGGATGGGGAGCGTCGCTGAACAGCTATTTTCAGGTCTCTCCAGAGATGTTTGATCGGGTTCAAGTCCGGGCTCTGGCTGGGCCACTCAAGGACATTCAGAAACTTGTCCCGAAGCCACTCCTGCATTGTCTTGGCTGCGTGCTTAGGGTCATTGTCCTGTTGGAAGGTGAACCTTCGCCTCAGTCTGAGGTCCTGAGCGCTCTGCAGCAGGTTTTCATCAAGGATCTCTCCGTTCATCTTTGCCTCAATCTTGACTAGTCTCCAAGTCCCTGCCGCTGAAAAACATCCCCACAGCATGATGCTGCCACCACCATGATTCACCGTAGGGATGGTGCCAGGTTTCCTCCAGACGTGACACTTGGCATTCAGGCCAAATAGTTCAATCTTGGTTTAATCAGACCAGAGAAACTTGTTTCTCATGGTCTGAGAGTCCTTTAGGTGCCTCCAAGTGGGCTGTCATGTGCTTCCGCCTGGCCACTCCACCATAAAGGCCTGATTGGTGGAGTGCAGCAGAGATGGTTGTCCTTCTGGAAGGTTCTCCCATCTCCACAGAGGAACTCTGGAGCTCTGTCAGAGTGACCATCGGGTTCTTGGCCACCTACCTGACCAAGGCCCTTCTCCCCTAATTGCTCAGTTTGAACTCTTTATTTTATATACATTTGTAAAAATTTATAAAAACCTGTTTTGGCTTTGTCATTATAGGGTATTGTTTGTAGATTGATGAGGATTCTATATATTTGTATCAAAAGGTCAAGGGGCCTGAATACTTTCCGAATGCGCTGTACGTGCCCTGTCCGAGCATAGAAGACGTAACATTTTAACATGGAAATATCTGTTCTATCATTCAGCCTACAGTAGCAGCCAATGGGTGGTGTCCAATGTAGCCCTACATTCCATTAGACTTTAGAAAAAACTATTGACATTAACCTGTTTATCCACTGGTCCTTCAGATAAGGAGGGGACTGAAAATATTGTGTTGTTTGATGCAAGAAACCACTTTACAAAATAAAATGCATTATTCTGTACATATCTACCTCCATTTCCTCGTACCCCTGCACATCGACGCGGTACTGATACCCCGTGTATATAACCTAGCTATCATTGCTCATTGTGTATTTATTCCTCGTATTAGTATTTTAAAAAATGGTATTCTGCATTGTTTGGGAGGGCCTGTAAGTAAGCATTTCAATGTTAGTCTACGCTTGTTTACGAAGCATGTGACAATTAAAATGTGACATGACTAGAGAGAGAATGTAATGAACGTCTATTCGGACTATGGCTACCAGCTAGCTAGCCAGGTCATTTGCTAAATCAGCAGTAGCGGTGTGTATAATCACCGGGGAAGCCAATCCAGAAAAGAATTCCATATTACATATTCCAACGTTTGTGTTGTGATCAATGTTCCCTCTAAGCGGCGAGTGCACCCTGGTACTGCTGCACAGAACAAATATCAGCCCGCGCAGAGAAGCACGAGATTTAACTTCACACTAAAGTTTCTAGTTTTCCCCCTTAGTTAACACGGTCAACGTTCCCCTCTACTGTGGGAATTGTGATCGAATCAATGCACTATTAGCCACTTTCAATGCAACATACCAAAACAAAACTAACTATGCAAGAGATTTTGTTGTAGGCAGAACGCATCAGTTGGATTCTATTGCATTGACACTCATGACTCAGCCCTACTCTACACAGACCGGTCCGGCATAACCAATCAGAGCTGCAGTAGGCCTATATGCAAATTGACTATTGCCATTTATGGAGCTGGTCCATTCACTTTGATCTGGACTGTGTTTACAGCATGAGCGGTCGTGAGTAGATGCGCTTGTTCTGAGATCAAAGCAAAAGTTGCATGTCCACAGCCTCTCAAGTGGTGCAGCAGTCTAAGTCACTGCATTCCAGTGCTTGAGGCGTCACTACAGACCCGGGTTCAATTCCAGGCTGTATCACAACCGGTGTGATTGGGAGTCCCACAGGGCGGCGCACAATTGGCCCAGCGTCGTCCGGGACGAAAGTAGGCCGTCATTGTAAATAAAAATGTGTTCTTAACCGACTTGCCTAGTTAAATAAATGTAGCCACGTGTGCACATTTGTTCATATCCTCTGCTAGTTAGTGAGTTATTAGCCCAGTTATAGATCATTTGTAGTCAGCAATAGGGGAGTGATTGCTTCCTACAATAGCTTTTTTTTGTCTTAAAGGGGCAGTGTTGTATTTTGAGACAGGCTTGAATAAGCTAAGTAGCCAATAGGCAGAGGGTAGCATAATTTGTCTGATTCTCTGTAATAATGGTATGGGAATAATAATGCATTTTACTTTGTAAAGTGGTTTCTTGCATCAAACAACACAATATTTTTAGTCCCCTCCTTGTCTGAAGGACCAGTGGATAAACAGGTTAATGCCAAGCCCTGCAGGTTGGTTTTTTCTAAAGTCTGATGGAATGTAGCCCTACATTGGACACCACCCATTGGCTGCTACTGTAGACTGAATGATAGAACAGATATTTCCATGTTTAAATGTTATGGGATGCATTTTCTCCATAGTTTTTGATGGTAGGCCACTCTGGTAGTCCTACATTAGGATCAAATAGCCACAGTAGCCTACTTGGCCACTGTTAAAACTGTAATTTAAAGCGGGTCCAGCCTCAGTGTTCACAGGAAACATGCGCTGGAAGTTGCACCGAAATTTCACAACCTTCAAGTTTGCGCTCAGCAGACCTTAAATTTGCTCAGTGCCTACATTTTTTTGAGGGAACATTGCTGATCAACACGCTAGCCAACCCACCTGTGTTGGCGTATCCCAACTTCGACTTAGCATTCACGCTTTCACAACGATGCCTCAGAGAAGGGCCAACGCCAGGAAGGGAGGTTGAAGGTTCTTGGATACGGCTCAAGGACGCTCACACCAGCCGAGAGAAACTACAATCTCCATTCTGGGAAACTGGAGTTCCTCGCTTTGAAATGTGCACAACGTTAAAAGACCATCTGTTCTATGCGCCCCACTTCACCATTTACACTGGTAATAATCCTCTCACTAATGTCATGAGTACCGCAAAATTCAACGCTGTTGGCCACCGCTGGGTGAAAGAGCTGTCAGATTTCCGGTTTGACATAAAATACATCAACATTGACGCCGACACCTTGTCAGCCTTGCCTCTTGACATAAACAAATGTGACCACATGTTCTGAGGAACTGTCACAGGATGTTGTCCACGGCACCTGGGAAGGGAGCAAGGCTGCTTAGAAGAAGTACGTTGAGGCCTCCCGAGTGGCGCAGCGGTCTAAGGCACTGCAGTGCTCGAGGCGTCACTACAGACCCGAGTTCGATCTCGGGCTGTGTCGCAGCCGGCCGCGACCGGGAGACCCATGAGGCGACGCACAATTGGCCCAGCGTCGTCCGGGTTAGGGGAGGGTTTGGCCCAGCGTCGTCCGGGATAGGGGAGGGTTTGGCCCAGCGTCGTCCGGGTTAGGGGAGGGTTTGGCCCAGCGTCGTCCGGGATAGGGGAGGGTTTGGCCCAGCGTCGTCCGGGTTAGGGGAGGGTTTGGCCCAGCGTCGTCCGGGTTAGGGGAGGGTTTGGCCCAGCGTCGTCCGGGTTAGGGGAGGGTTTGGCCCAGCGTCGTCCGGGATAGGGGAGGGTTTGGCCCAGCGTCGTCCGGGTTAGGGGAGGGTTTGGCCAGCCGCGATTTCCTTGTCCCATCGCGCTCTATCGGCTCCTGTGGCGGGCCGGGCGCATGCACGCTGACTTCGGTCGCCAGTTGTACAGTGTTTCCTCCGACACATTGGTGCAGCTGGCTTCCGGGTTAAGCGAGCAGTGTGTCAAGAAGCAGTGCGGCTTGGCAGGGTCGTGTTTCGGAGGACGCAAGGCTCTCGACCTTCGCCTCTCCCGAGTCCGTACGGGAGTTGCAGCGACGGGACAAGACTGTAACTACCAACTGGGGATCGAAAATAAAGAAAAAGGACGTTGCAGCCCTGAAATTTGCTCAATGGCCAAAAAAATTAGAGGGAACATTGGTTGTGATAATTGCGTTGTTAAGGTCGAGACAATAAGAAGACACAGTGGCAGAATAAATTCAACCACACCTTTGGTTCATTACAAAATGGAGATCAAGTCCACAAAGTATATTACATATAACAAACTGTTACATGACCTACAGCACGGTCAAGCAAGTTCATGTTTCCAACATTTTCTGACCACTAAACAACTATTGATTTAGAACCACAGAGAGTTACTGCAAGTCGCAAAGAAAACAGGAGCTGCCTCCACTATTCCAGCACCATTTCAACATCATCTAATCACCTCTGCTTAGTCTAATACAGTGACAACTAAAATCAATCAACGTAGGCTAAATATAATGTGGCTGTCCATGGGGGTGATTTATGTGCGTTTGTGTGTGCGTGCAAATAGAAAAAAACCATGGTTCACCCTACTTGTGGAGAAACGCCAATGCCATCCTCCTTGTTCATGTTGCCTAACGGTCTACGACTGTCATACAGTACAACCTTTTATTATTATAATAAGCCATTTAGCAGACGCTTTTATCCAAAGCGACTTACAGTCATGTGTGCATACATTTTTACGTATGGGTGGTCCCGGGGATCGAACCCACTACCCTGGCGTTACAAGCACTGTGCTCTACCAATTGCTCTACCACATGTAGTTTTGTTGCCCTAGGTTACCTGGCTACCTACTTGCTCGCTAGCCTAACTTCCTTTCATGGGCAATGATACACCAGGCCAGCTAGTTAACATTAGCATACTACCTCTAGCCACATGTTGAACTTCCATCCTCTCAGGCCAGGGGCACAATGAGAGCATGGCGTTTGCAACGCCAGGGTTGTGGGTTCGATTCCCAAGGGGGGCCAGTATGAAAAAATGTTAAATAAATAATGTATGCACTCACTAACTGTAAGTCGCTCTGGGTAAGAGCGTCTGCTAAATGACTAAAATGTAAATGTAAAAAAAATGGGTGTCAACAATGTCATACTCTTTCTGACCAGACAGCATCAGATAGATCCGCTACACATACTGAGACAGAGGGGCGCTGGTTCGTTCGCTTTTCTACGGCGAGATATTTTTATTTTCTATATTTTTTTCTTGGTCAATTTTTGGGGGAAGCATGGTTTCCCTTGGCATCCATAAATACACGCCACACTGTAAACCATCAGCAGCGTGAACTACAAATGTAACTTTAAAATTAAACACTGAGCAAATGTAATTGAATTACTAGCTAACTAGCGTTAGCTTGTTCAATAACGTTCAAGTACAGCCCAACGTTAGCCTGCTACCTCGGGTAATCTGCTGGCTAACTGTGTAGCTAACGCGTAGCTAGCTAAATTAGCTAGCTAGCTCAAAATGTGGTGTCAGGATTGTGTTCCCCTATCTTATTATGAAGTTGTCTTGTATATTTCTAGACAGATGTTAGAATGTACCAGAATGTCTTTCATTTTCATAATGAATAGCCAGTCAACTTACCTGGTTTTTATGGAGATGTGCTGCGCAGCGGAAGAAGCCGTTAACCGAGTCGCCAGTATTCTACCAGCAGCACAAACAATGACGTCAGTTGTATGGTAATGAGGAAATCTTCCAAATAAAAGCTCTCATTTCAAAACATTTCAATGTCGATAACTAATTCAAAATATATCGATTTTTTTTAAATCAATGGCCACTTCTGTTGTGGCAACAAGGAAATGTAATTAGTAATTTATACCAATAATGAAAACGTTGACATTGGTATGTTGAGAATATTGGGGCTGTAGAGAACTTTTCTACCTGTCTCAGCTAAAGCGGGGTGGGAAATAAATCAGAAAGGTCTCTACTAACCAATTATGTGGTTTTTGGAGGGGGACTGTGTCGTCCATAACCAGCAGTACTTTGTTCTCAGTCCCCTCTATAGCTGCACTCAATGCATTATGGTGCTATAGGCTACCCAAATCACTGTAAGTGAGGACTTGGTGGACTGTATATTCTTTAGGCTTAACTGTATGTGTTCTCTCCCGTGTGCTGGTAAGGGCACAGATGACAGACAGGATTCCAGTTGAGGTGGTTTAATAATGCTGAATACGCACAGGCACGGAACAGCACCGCACAGTGTATATTGTATGGATGGGCCAAGGCACTTAGTGGTCTGGCAACTTGCTTCATTCAAAGTGTGTGTGTGTGTGTCTGCAAGTAAAGAGAGAAATAAAGATAGAATAGTGAATGACAGAATACAATCTCCAATTCACATCTCTTATAAACAATTTGCATGGCTATAACATGACTATGATGACTTAATGCTGTACAGGACCAGACAGAGCATTACAACATGACTGTGACTGACTGTGACTGCACTGTGACTGACTGTGACTGACTGTGACTGCACTGTGACTGACTGTGACTGACTGTGACTGCACTGTGACTGCACTGTGACTGCACTGTGACTGACTGTGAATGACTGTGACTGCACTAATTTGAGATCAAATGGATGCCCCTGCACGTGTACTACAAAGCATAGCACCATCATCTTCAGTACAGGGCTACAACTGCACAATGAACAGTGAAATACAATGTAATCCCCATATAATGATGCACCATACACCTATACAATTACAGGGCATATAAACAACGCACTGGGGGGACATTATCCTTTACAAATACAGGGTTAAATGTCCAAAATGATATGACAACCAAACCAGAGCTAGCCAGCTCACAATAGCTAGCTCGCAGTATAAACTACAAATTAGCATAACCATAAATATGACATTATCGTCACAGAGTGCATCTTCAGACATAAACACCTGAAAGATATTAAATATGTACTTACATATCAACAAGGGTGCACACTGCCCTTGGCTAACACCATGGAAACTAACTGGTGGGAAAACACGAGGATGGCTGGACCTTTCTCTCGCTTGACTTCTCTCCAGCTGATCTTCTTCTCTGAGCTGGAGCTCGTCCAGCATGCTCTGCTCCACTTCAGCGGTGCGCGGAGCTACAGCTCTGATATGATGAACTAACATTACTGATACGATTAAATACAAATACTTCACAGCCTTTTGTACAGCCACCCCTGAATTCACTATGTTAATTCACTCCTAAGAAAGTCAAGTTAAGTATTGAGCCTATCTTAAATCTTACTTACATATACATTTTACATTTTAGTCATTTAGCAGACGCTCTTATCCAGAGCGACTTACAGGAGCAATTAGGGTTAAGTGCCTTGCTCAAGGGCACATCGATCGATTTTTCACCTAGTCGGCTCAGGGATTAGAACCAGCGACCTTTCGGTTACTGGCACAACGCTCTTAACCACTAATCTACCTGCCGCAACCTTTTGTACAGTCACGTTCATTTAGTTCAAGTAGACAGTTATCAATGTTTCTTTGCTATTGTCTTTAGTCATTCGAAGTGTACAGGCCTACATTTTGTAAAATAAATAAAAATCATGGTCCTGTTTTGTTCTAGTTTCATGAGGAGTCACCCTCACTAATCACTTGGCAAATTGTGCTGTTCTAGTGATATGTACAGTCGTGGTCAACAGTTTTGATAATGACACATTAATTTTCACAAATTCTGCTGCCTCAGTTATGATGGCAATTTGCATATACTCCAGAATGTTATGAAGAGTGATCAGATGAATTGCAAAGTCACTCTTTGCCATGAAAATGAACTTAATCCCCCAAAAAAACATTTCCACTGCATTTCAGCCCTGCCACAAAGGACCAGCTGACATCATGTCAGTGATTCTCTCGTTAACACAGGTGAGAGTGTTGACGAGGACAAGGCTGGAGATCACTCTGTCATGCTGGTTGAGTTAGAATAACAGACTGGAAGCTTTAAAAGGAGGGTGGTGCTTGAAATCATTGTTCTTCCTCTGTTAACCATGGTTACCTGCAAGGAAACACGTGCCGTCATCATTGCTTTGCACAAAAAGGGCTTCACAGGCAAGGATATTGCTGCTAGTAAGATTGCACCTAAATCAACCATTTATCAGATCATCAAGAACTTCAAAGAGAGAGGTTCAATTGTTGTGAAGAAGGCTTCAGGGTGCCCAAGAAAGTCCAGCAAGCGCCTGACCGTCTCCTAAAGTTGATTCAGCTGTGGGATCGGGGCACCACCAGTGCAGAGCTTGCTCAGGAATGGCAGCAGGCAGGTGTGAGTGCATCTGCACGCACAGTGAGGCGAAGACTTTTGGAGGATGGCCTGGTGTCAAGAAGGGCAGCGAGGAAGCCACTTCTCTCCAGGAAAAACATCAGGGACAGACTGATATTCTGCAAAAGGTACAGGGATTGGACTGCTGAAAAGTCATTTTCTCTGATTAATCCCCTTTCCGATTGTTTGGGGCATCCGGAAAACAACTTGTCCGGAGAAGACAAGGTGAGCGCTACCATCAGTCCTGTGTCATGCCAACAGTAAAGCATCCTGAGACCATTCATGTGTGGGGTTGCTTCTCAGCCAAGGGAGTGGGCTCAATCACAATTTAGCCTAAGAACACAGCCATGAATAAAGAATGGTACCAACACATCCTCCGAGAGCAACTTCTCCCAACCATCCAAGAACAGTTTGGTGACGAACAATGCATTTTCCAGCATGATGGAGCACCTTGCCATAAGGCAAAAGTGATAACTAAGTGGCTCGGGGAACAAAACATCAACATTTTGGGTCCATGGCCAGGAAACTCCCCAGACCTTAATCCCATTGAGAACTTGTGGTCGATCCTCAAGAGGCGGGTGGACAAACAAAAACCCACAAATTCAGTCAGGATGTGGTCCAGAAGTTAATTGACAGCATGCCAGGGCGGATTGCAGAGGTCTTGAAAAAGAAGGATCAACACTGCAAATATTGACTCTTTGCATAAACTTAATGTAATTATCAATAAAAGCCTTTGCCACTCACTGAAGTATAATTACAAGCATTCAATATACCATAGTAACATCTGACAAAAATATCTAAAAAAACACTGAAGCAGCGAACTTTGTGAAGACCAATACTTGTGTCATTCTCAAAACTTTTGACCACGACTGTAGGCCCAGATCATATTACATTTCATCTTTCAGTCATACCAGACTTTCTGTATGCTTATGGTTCTGCCATAGTGAAACACAGTCCCCCTTCAAAACTATACATATGTGGTTAGTAGATCCCCTACTGAGTATTTCCCAGTCCACTTTAGCTGAGACAGGAAGACATGTTCTCTCTCTACAAGCCAATAAGGATCCCTTATACCGTGTTTTGCGTTGCAGTGAAAGTGGGTGGAGTAAAGAGTCACCAGTACTCTGTCAGCACAAGAGACCCATTTACGTTTTGCAGATAATTCCAGTAATATTTTTGTATTTTATTAAAAGTGTATTTCTTTAAAATATAGCCTACCCAATAGCTTTCAACATACCAGTATTTGTGTAAACTTATATATAAATAAAATACATTCTGGTATAAATAATACAACATTACAAATAAAAGACGTCAAATTACCCATTGACTTTTTCCCCAGAGGTGGTTGCAATGTTGTGAAAAACAGTTGTACTGCACTGGAGTGCAAAAAAAATATCGATATTCCCAAATGTAGCTCGTCTTTGCACAGGGGGTCTTATTTTGAAGAATAAAAAATCCGCGATCGTGCTGCCAGAATAATTTCCTGCTGCTATGGGAACGGTAATATTCGGTGCGCATGTTTTGGAGCCGGTCACCCTGCCCCAATCCGATTGGTCCAATGTCTTCTTCTTCTTTGGGTTTGTTGGCGAACTACACGCAAAATGTTCATTGTCGCTCCCAACTGGACGGGGGTGAAAATAATCACTTAAGTAAATTATACTACAGGGAGGAGAAAATTAACATTAATTTACTGAAAATATATATATATGTCCCGCTCCTTCAGTCATTCAAAACTTCAGATCCCCTGTTCAGGCTCTGGAACCTGCACAAGTCAGTAATGCGTGCAGCTCCTCAGATCTTTAGTCTTTTAATCCCAGAAATAGCTCAGCTAAACAACGTCACACGCTTGGCTGATTTTTAACCACAACAAAAACCCTGGCCTTCTCTGGTTTGGGGAAGTCCATCCTCCGCCGTCTCTCCTCCGTGACCCGGAAACCGATGAGAGTCTGGCCTTCTGCATACTCCTAGTCCTCATTCTCAAACCCCATTGGATGAGAAAGTCAGAGGTCCCGCAGGAGGAGGAGAGAGGACACGAGGAGTTGAGAAAAGGAGGAGAGAGGACACGAGGAGTTGAGAAAAGGAGGAGAGAGAGGACACGGGGAGTTGAGAAAAGGAGGAGAGAGGACACGAGGAGTTGAGAAAAGGAGGAGAGAGGACACGAGGAGTTGAGAAAAGGAGGAGAGAGGACACGAGGAGTTGAGAAAAGGAGGAGAGAGGACACGGGGAGTTGAGAAAAGGAGGAGAGAGGACACGAGGAGTTGAGAAAAGGAGGAGAGAGGACACGAGTTGAGAAAAGGCCCCACTGTCCGAATCAAGAGAATCTGTAAATTCTCCAAATTAGATCTTAAAATACAACACATTTTAACCACAGGTTTCTATACCCTATATTTCACAATCAACCTTGGTTACCATTTTATCAGGAGAATATCTTTATTAAGTATTTTAAACCTATAACAAAACAACTAAAAAAGTGACTCAAATCAAATGATTTTATTTTTTCAACATAGAAAATATAGCTGAATCCATTTGGCCTCTTTCCTATACATTAACAATTCCTATATTGAATGGTCAGTATTAACAGACGGTTGTGCATGCCACCCGCCACAAGAGTATCCAGGAGACAGCAGAGGGCAGATGGACAGGTCTCACCTCTGTAGCTCAGCTGGTAGAGCATGGCGCTTGTAACGCCAGGGTAGTGGGTTCGATCCCCGGGACCACCCATACGTAAAAATGTATGCATGCATGACTGTAAGTCGCTTTGGATAAAAGCGTCTGCTAAATGGCATGTTATTATTATTATTATTATTATTATCTGTCCTGTTTGACACTAGGCCCAGTCCCAAAATGGACCCTAGGCCATAGTAGAGAGATCTGTAATCAATATGGAAAATGGCTCCAACTTGCCCTTTGATAGGTAGAAGTTTCACCGTCTTGCTTATACCAATCAAATTATCTCAGATCTCCACAAGTGCATATCGGGTCCATTTGGGACTCGACCTAGAAAGACAGAAGGCACCAGTGAAGTGAAGTCTCCTAGGATGTGTTTAAACAGGCAGCCCAATTCTGATATTTTTTTCACTAATTGGTCTTTTGACCAATCAGATCAGCTCTGAAAGATATGATGTGAAAAGATATGATTGGTCAAAAATATCAATTAGTGGGATAAATATCAGAATTGGGCTGCCTGTGTAAACGCAGCCTTAGCAGCAGGTCAGAGTGGAAGAGATGGAGGATCCAGCAGCGTCTGAAGCTGGGGTGAATTCACTATGAACCAAATGGAACAAACCTACCTACATTTGTCTAATAGTAATTCTTATTTTCATTGGGAAACGTTTTCCTACAGTTTCGCACTAATGAACACACCCCAGATCTGTCAGAGATCCTTCATTTCTCCCATATCGTCGACCACCGCACCACTCAATCACTTGTCTTTGTCTTCCTGTGCTCCAGTCTTGTCCACTAGTCCACTCTGGGCTCTCAGTGCCTGGCTGCTGGCTGAGATGAAGCTGATCCAGTGCTGCAGATCCTCAGGGTAGTCGGGACACTCCACCTGAACACACACAGAGAAGAGGACTGAGTGATCTCCCATGCATCAAAGGCCCATCATATGGACTGAGTGATATCCCATGCATCAAAGGCCCATCATATGGACTGAGTGATATCCCATGCATCAAAGGCCCATCATATGGACTGAGTGATATCCCATGCATCAAAGGCCCATCATATGGACTGAGTGATATCCCATGCATCAAAGGCCCATCATATCTCTCCTCTCCCCCCTCCTCCCTCTCCCCTCTCTCTCTCTCTCTCTCTCCTCCCTCCCTCCCTCCTCTCCACTCCACTCCCTCTCCTCTGTAGGATGCTCTCAGGGTTGCAGATCCTCAGGGTAGTCGAGACACTCCACCTGAACACACACACACTTTATATTGAAAACGTGACCGAATCAGAAAAAACAACTTCTCTGGTTGAAAACAGCTTGTGGCATCGATACGAGTCAGAAACATTTATTATAGTGTCAAAATAGACTACGAAGTGTAAACAGGATCATTTTGGTCATAAAGTCAGTCTCGTCCAAAGCGGAGATTTGCGAGATAAAGTCAGTCTCGTCCAAAGCAGAGATTTGCGAGATAGAGGAATGAAGGGTAGTAACGTAACAGGTTGAGTTTATTTAAACCCACAGGCTCAAAGCTGGCAGCACCCAAGTAATCATCAATTCGGAGCGCAGCTGCACGCAACCCGATCATAATGCCCAACACGTGGGTACGGAATGCACACGGACCTTGGTAAATTTGGTTTGACTTCGGATATACCTATGGGGCTAGTTAGGGACCATCAGTAAATTACACAATGTACATGACAATATGTTAAAATTCAATGACTTAAAAACCTGATACTAACTATGAATTGTAGAAATTCATATATAAATATTGAAAGCATTTAAATGAGAAAACTAAAAAAGGTGTGCAACATGGAAATAGAGTCCCATTTACATTGTGGAATATATTGACGGTCCCTAACTAGCCCCAGAGGTAGGCTATCCAAAGTCAAATCAACTTTGCCACGGTGCAGCTAATTGGTGAATGAAGTTGGCTAGCTTGCTAGCTAGTCGAGGCTACTTCCAGACAAGACCTGGTTAGACGGTTTGGACCTGGTTAGACGGTTTGGACCTGGTTAGACGGTTTGGACCTGGTTAGACGGTTTGGAGTTATCTAGAAGGCTGAGTGACTAACAGCGGATGTCCAAACACACAAGAGACGGCCACATCAACGCCACTCCTCCAAGACCCACATCTGGTTCTCGTTTCCTAATGAGGACTGAAACCTAAATCAGCCCTCCTTTAATTTTATTCAGTTGTAGGATCTGAAATTCTACATCAGTCCCTCCCCTCCCCCCCTCATTTATCTTCCACCTCCTCTCCCTCCCCTCCTCCCCTTCCCTTCCCCTCTTTCCCCTCTCCTCCCTTTCCCCCCCTCTCCCTCCCCCCCACCTCCTACTTTTCTCTTGCAGAGGTACTGCAGTATCTTATCAGGGCTGCTGCGCATGACGTTCTGTTTACACCACATGACAGCTGCCACCAGACCGTCCCTGGAACAGAAAATAATCATACTGTTACATCATATATCATCATCATATCATATACTGATTCACATGGATGTAATACATGAAGCCAAAACAGGTTGAAAAGTAGGATTGTCTTCATGTCTGAACTCCATAAGGCATTACACCCAGCAGACACACCCAGCAGACCACACCCACCCACAGACACACCACCACAGACCACACCCACCCAGCCAGACACACCACCCAGCAGACACACACACACCCAGCAGACACACCCACCCCAGCAACACACCAGCACCACAGAGACACACACACACCCAGCAGACACACCCACCCAGCAGACACACCCACCCAGCAGACACACCCACCCAGCACACACCCAGCAGACACACCCACAGAACACACCCAGCAGACACACCCAGCAGACACACCCAGCAGACACACCCAGCAGACACACCCAGCAGACACACCCAGCAGACACACCTAGCAGACACACCCAGCAGACACACCTAGCAGACACACCCAGCAGACACACCTAGCAGACACACCCAGCAGACACACCCATCAACACCCAGCACACACCCCAGCAACACACCTAGCAGACACACCCAGTCAGACACACCCTAGACAACCCACACCACCCCACAGAACACACCTAGCAGACACACCACCAGCAGACACACCCAGCAGACACACCCAGCAGACACACCCAGCAGACACACCCAGCAGACACACCTGCAGGAGACGAAACGCTGCTCAAGGTAAAAGGCCTTCTCGTCCCAGACCACGATTCTGGTGCGCAGCTCAAATGCTTCCCCCAGGCACAGGGCCCGGCGCAGGCGGATAGTAGTGGCTCCCACCACCATGGTGGCCCTCAGGGCACGGCAGGCCTTAAACACCCCGTTACGACTGTACAGGGAGAACCTGGGAGAGGAGAACATTACACACCATCATCACACCCCCCCTGAAGATGGAGAACCTGGGGAAGTACAGGACGTTGCACACACATCATCCTCCAGGGGTTAGGAGCTACTGAGGAATCATCTAGGGGAATATGTTAAAACCAACAGAGAACTCAGCATCCTCCCTGCCCTGGGACCCATCTGACCTGGCGAAGTCACACTCCCGGAGGTATCTGGCGTTGTTCATGTGTCCCAGGTCGATATCGTGAAGCAGGACGCGTCCCGACACACTCTGTTCCCCGAGGACGTCCCACACCGGCTTCTGGAACCAGGCCCTGACCACCACCACCACCCCCCGCAGGAAGTACCAGACATCCAGACAGGAGAAGAGCAGCAGCAGCAGGCCCCCCAGAGCACACAGCAACATCTCCCTGGAGGGGGGGGGAAGAGGTAGAGTTACACTACAGCAACATCTCCCTGGAGGGGGGGGGAAGAGGTAGAGTTACACTACAGCAACATCTCCCTGGAGGGGGTGGGGAAGAGGTAGAGTTACACTACAGCAACATCTCTCTGGAGGGGGGGGAAGAGGTAGAGTTACACTACAGCAACATCTCCCTGGAGGGGGGGGGAAGAGGTAGAGTTACACTACAGCAACATCTCCCTGGAGGGGGGGGGAAGAGGTAGAGTTACACTACAGCAACATCTCCCTGGAGGGGGGGGGAAGAGGTAGAGTTACACTACAGCAACATCTCCCTGGAGGGGGGGGGAAGAGGTAGAGTTACACTACAGCAATATGGTTCTAGAGAGAGAGACCGCAGCACTGACCAGTACGAGCCAGAGAGATTAATAGTTTCAGCAGGTAGGCCGGGTCACCAGAGTGTAGCCAACTACACAGACCCTGATGGACCTGGCTGCCTGATGGGCCTGGCTGCCTGATGGGCCTGGCTGCCTGATGGGCCTGGCTGCCTGATGGGCCTGATGGACCTGGCTGCCTGATGGGCCTGGCTGCCTGATGGGCCTGGCTGCCTGATGGGCCTGGCTGCCTGATGGGCCTGGTGGGCCTGATGGGCCTGGCTGCCTGATGGGCCTGGCTGCCTGATGGGCCTGGCTGCCTGACCTGGCTGGGTTTTTTCTACATTGTAGAATAATAGTGAAGACATCAAAACTATGAAATAACACATATGGAATCATGTAGTAACCAAAAAAGTCTGAAAGAAATCAAAATATATTTTATATTTGAGATTCTTCAAATAGCCACTCTTTGCCTTGATGACAGCTTGGCACACTCTTGGCATTCTCTCAACCAGCTTCACCTGGAATGCTTTTCCAACAGTCTTGAAGGAGTTCCCACATATGCTGAGCACTTGTTGGCTGCTTTTCCTTCACTCTGCCGTCCGACTCATCCCAAACCATCTCAATTGGGTTGAGGTCGGGGGATTGTGGAGGCCAGGTCATCTGATGCAGCACTCCATCACTCTCCTTCTTGGTCAAATAGCCCTTACACAGCCTGGAGGTGTGTTGGGTCATTGTCCTGTTGAAAAACAAATGATAGTCCCACTAAGCCCAAACCAGATGGGATGGCGTATCGCTGCAGAATGCTCTGGTAGCCATGCTGGTTAAGTGTGCCTCGAATTCTAAATAAATCACAGACGGTGTCACCAGCAAAGCACCCCCACACCATAACACCTCCTCCTCCATGCTTTATGGTGGGAACTACACATGCGGAGATCATCCGTTCACCCACACAGCTTCTCACAAAGCCACGGCGGTTGGAACCAAAAATCTCCAATTTGGACTCCAGACCAAAGGACACATTTCCACCTGTCTAATGTCCATTGCTCATGTTTCTTGGCCCAAGCAAGTCTCTTCTTCTTATTGGTGTCCTTTAGTAGTGGTTTCTTTGCAGCAATTCGACCATGAAGGCCTGATTCACACAGTCTCCTCTGAATATTTCATGTTGAGATGTGTCTGTGACTTGAACTCTGTGAAGCATTTATTTGGGCTGCAATTTCTGAGGCTGGTAACTCTAATGAACTTATCCTCTGCAGCAGAGGTAACTCTGGGTCTTCCATTCCTGTGGCGGTCCTCATGAGAGCCAGTTTCATCATAGCGCTTGATGGTTTTTGCGACTGCACTTGAAGAAACTTTCAAAGTTCTTGAAATGTTCCGTATTGGACTGACCTTCATGTCTTAAAGTAATGATGGGACTGTTGTTTCTCTTTGCTTATTTGAGTTGTTCTTGCCATAATATGGACTTGGTCTTTTACCAAATAGGGCTATGTTCTGTATACACCCCCCCCCCCTACCTTGTCACAACACAACTGATTGGCTCAAAAGCATTAATTCCACAAATTAACTTTTAACAAGGCACACCTGTTAATTGAAATGCATTCCAGGTGACTACCTCATGAAGCTGGTTGAGAGAATGCCAAGAGTGTGCAAAGCTGTCATCAAGGCAAAGGGTGGCTATTTGAAGATTCAATATATTTTGATTTCTTTAAGACTTTTTGGTCACGACATGATTCCACTGTGGTTATTTCATAGTTTTGATTTGGAGAATGCAGTAGTGTGCAGAAGTGATCATCAGGAACGTTGCTGGCAGTGTAAACTCTATCGAAGGATATTTGATTTCGTAAGGACATGGGTCATACAGATCTCAGCTGAGATGTATATTCAAGTTTTGATGCTCTTCAGCATAATTATTCTACAATGTAAACCCTAGTTAGATAAAAATCTCAAGAAAACCCGAGTGGGCATCCAGTACGCGGTCCAAGAGTTCTCTGACGGTACGATACACAGCGGCCACTTGAAGGTTCAGTTTGGAGAAACCTGGTTACGATCAAGTCACGGACCCCTGGTTTCAGCTGAACGGTTAACCATCGCCAGGCCAACTGGAGTCTCTAGCTGACGGTAACAGATCTCAGCGCACTGAGTTCAGCTGACGTACAAGATCACAGAGGCCCACTGATTCTCAGCATACGTACCGATCAACCCATACTCTGGAGTTTAGTGACGTAGCGTCCAGCCGGACTGGGTCTATTACCAGCTCGTACCTACAGCCGGCCCACCTGGAGTTCTCAGCTGACGGTACCGATCACAGCCGGCCCACCTGGAGTTCTCAGCTGACGGTACCGATCACAGCCGGCCCACTCGCAGTGGTGTAAAGTACTTCAGTAAAAAGCAGTTAAGTAGATTTTGGGGGTATCTGTCCCATTAATACAGCCAGTCCACCCTGAAACCACTACCTGACGAGGGATTGTTTCATTCTGCAGTGATCTATAGCTATATACCGTATTTAGCTTCTATTTAGAAACCTGTTTTAAAATTCCACATCAAATAGTCTAACAATGAGGGAAAAAGTAGTCATCTGGAGGATAAATTCAGCCACTATTGTTAAACTCAGCAGGTTGTCTGGCTAATAGTCTACACAAATGGGCTGCAATATTCAACGCCAATTAAATCAAACCCAACTTGAGACTCCCCTGGTCTCCTGAAGTCCTTTTTTGTGTGCAAATGTTTTCACCACTGCCTGTAGGTCCACGTTGCAGGCCCAACTTTTCTATACTGACAACCCAGACATTGTGAATTACATGTCCATAAAGAGATCTACCAGAGATAAAGGACTGTTGATATTGCAACCACAGTATGAACAAAATATATATAGATTTTTTAAGCCCTCAATAACTTGTCCGCTAAAGATTATAATCTGTTTATCTGCCAATGTATTCTGTCCAGATGATTTGTCCCCAGAGCTTCCTATACAGTTAATGTCTTTCAATAACGTGTTGAGGCAATTAAGGTGAATGAAAGGCTCAATTAAACACAACTGCTGTATTTGAAGCAACGATTCCACCTTTTTCATTGTCAATAATTCAATTTTGCCCATATTCTTGAAGAATGTTAAGGTCACTGGTTTGAGACCACTAAATCAACCACTCCCGTTAAATACTGTGATTGAAGAAAAATAGTTCAGAGGTTAAATTATTTAAAAAAAAACATAGGTTCATTATCATTTTTACACACTTTCTACCTGGGTTTAGTCATTTTAGTTCAGACTGGAGAATTTTTCATTTAAAAAATAAATAAATAGAGTTGCACCCCCCTTTGCCCTCAGAACAGCCCTCTACAAGGTGTCAAAAGCATTCCACAGGGATGCTGGCCCATGTTGACTTCAATGCTTCCCACAGTTGTGTCAAGTTGGCTGGATGTCCTTTGGGTGGTGGACCATTCTTGAAACTGTTGAGCATGAAAAACCCAGCAGCATTGCAGTTCTTGACTCTCTAACTGGCACCTACTACCATACACCGTTCAAAAGTACTTACATCTGTTGTCTTGCCCTTTCACCCTCTGAATGGCACACATACACAATCCATGTCTCAAGGCTTAAAAATCCTTCTTTAAACCTGTCTCCTCCCCTTCATCTACACTGATTGGAGTGGATTTAACAAGTGACATCAATAAGGGATCATAGCTTTCACCTGGTCAGTCTGTCATGGAGAGAGCAGGTGTTCCTAATGTTTTTCACACTCACTTTATATTTGAATGGGGAAAATGTGGCATAGTAGAGACGTTAGTCTTCAAAACCTGAATTAGATATTAACACATTTACGCAAACTTTGAAGTTACATGAACTCTCACTGTGGACAACACAGACCAACGTTCAAGCGAAGTTATAACAAACTTACATGACTGTTTTGATGAGAAACTTGCTGGCTGAAATCAGCAGTGCACGTTGGGACTTCTTAGCCTGAAACTCTGGTCTGGAGTTCTGTTGCTCTACAATGTCGTGATTCTGCGAAACACCTACAGAAATAGATTGGAAGAGCAGATCTTTAGCTATCGCTCTCCGTCGAGCAAACTATCCAGTCCAAACTTCCCAAGTCAATTAAAACCTATGCTAACTTTAAATAGTGATGTTACGTTTGATACCGGAGCTCCGAGGTATGCTGCGAACTCACTAAGCACTTTATTTCGAAACAGTCTTCTTCATCTTCTTGTTCTTCAGTGGGGTTTATCGGCGGTTGGCATCCAACGTTATGGTGCATTACCGCCACCTACTGTACTGGAGTGTGGGCCAGAGACAGGGAGAAACTAAATCCTACCTGTCAACTCCGTTGCTCTTAAAAAAGATAGCAAAATATTTGAAACTATATCTAATGACGTTCTGCTCAATATACTCTTTAAACTAATGTCCTGTATCCCCTTCTGCCTCATACTAGATCTCATCCTATCTCTTTCCCTCTGATACTGCCCACACTGTAGCAATACATGCTCCACGGTCTCTGTTTCCTGACAATAATCACACTTTCCTGATGGATGCTTTCCTATCACATTTAATGTCTTATTCAACTGGCTGTGTCCCACCCTTAATCTTGTTAAAATAGCCTCCTCTCTTCTGTCCCTTCCTGCTGTCCTCCCCTCCCGACTTTCCTCTGTACCTGAAATAAATGCCTTCCCTTATTATCTCTATTCCACTGCTCCTGCCATCTCTGCACCATCACTGTATATATCAGTCTTTTTGCCTCTGCCTTGCTCATTGAAACTACAACATCAACATCCCCACTACTAAGTGCTTGTTTAACCTGTTCATCTACTGCCTCGTTCCCCTCCACCCCCACATGGGCTGGGACCCACATAAATCTTATCTGAATACCCATCTGTTTAATCTTGCCATGGGTTTGTAGCACCTCATAAAGCAGGTATTGTCTGCTACGTGAGCTAAAGGACTGGAGGCTCATTAACACTGCACATGAATCAGAGCAAATAACTACTCTGTCTTGTTTGACTTCCTCCACCCACTGCAAGGCCAACAGTATGGCCATCAGCTCCACCCACTGCAAGGCCAACAGTATGGCCACCAGCTCCGCCCACTGCAAGGCCAACAGTATGGCCATCAGCTCCGCCCACTGCAAGGCCAACAGTATGGCCATCAGCTCCACCCACTGCAAGGCCAACAGTATGGCCATCAGCTCCGCCCACTGCAAGGCCAACAGTATGGCCATCAGCTCCGCCCACTGCAAGGCCAACAGTATGGCCATCAGCTCCGCCCACTGCAAGGCCAACAGTATGGCCATCAGCTTCCGCCCACTGCAAGGCCAACAGTATGGCCATCAGCTCCGCCCACTGCAAGGCCAACAGTATGGCCATCAGCTCCGACCCACTGCAAGGCCAACAGTATGGCCATCAGCTCACCCAGTGCAAGGTCCAACAGTATGGCCAATCAGATCCGCCCACTGCAAGGCCAACAGTATTGGTCCATCAGCTCCACCCACTGCAGGCCAACAGTATGGCCCATCAGCCCTCCACCCACTGCAAGGCCAACAGTATGGCATCAGCCCACCCAATGCAGGCCACAGTATGGCAACCAGCTCCACCCACTGGCAACGGCCAACAGTATGGGCCATCAGCTCCGGCATTATATACAGCCAGATGATCTGTAATCCGTTTCCTGACTTCAACCCCAACATTCCTGCACTACAAATGCTGACCCAGTACGTCCTGTCCTTGGATCTTTTGAACCATCTGTGTAAATGGCCACAAAATCCTGATACACAGTTTCCAGACGTCTCTTAAACAAATCTGATGGATCAACCCCCTCCCTATCTTTCTGTAGTCTCTCCAACACTTCTAGATCAACTACTGGAGGCGGGAGTAGCCATGGTGGATTTACAGGAATAGCTACCTTTGGACTAAACTCCCTTCCATACAGTCCCATCTCCTTCGCCTGGGTATTACCCATCCACCCAAAGCTCATGTTCGGTCTTCACTCATGTTCCCAGCATGCCTGTAAAATCCCTTTCGCAGGATGAGACACCCCATGTCCTTGTAGGTTGACCCAGTAATTCATTGCCAGCTGCTGTCTCCTAATCTCCAACGGCATATCCCCCATCTCCACCTGTAATGCAGCCACTGGGGACGTCCGAAACGCCCCACTACATATTCTGAGTCCTTGCCCCTGTATGACATCTAGCCTTTCCAATGAGGTCCGGGCTGCCGAACCATATGCTATACTTCCGTAGTCTATTACAGATCGGATCAATGCAACATAATGGTCTTCAATGAGGAACGCACAGCCCCCCACTCCTTCCCCGTCAGACAGCACATCACATTTAGCACCTTCTTAGACTTTCCCACCACTCTCTCAATGTGTTCTGCCCAGGTCAGTCTAGTATCAAAGTATACCCCAAGGAACCTGAAGGCCCCCACCCTCTCCAAGTTTCTCCCATATAACCTCAAACATACCTCATCTCCCACCTTCCTCCTGGTAAAGAACACTGTTTAAGTTTTCTCTACAGAGAACCTGAATCCCCACATTAATGCCCACCGCTCTACCTCATCAATTGCTTCCTGTACCTTCCTGACCATGTATGGTACATTTCTTCCCCTCTTCCATAAGGCACCATCATCTGCAAATAACGACCTTCCAATATCCGGCCGTACCTGAGAGTAAACATCACTGATCATGATTGCGAACAACAGAGGACTAATCACGCTCCCCTGCGGTGTACCGTTATCCACCAGGTAGCTGCCTGATAAAGACTTCCCCACCCTCACCTGGATAGACCTTCCAAACAGGAAATCCTTTATCCAGTTGTACATTCTTCCTCCTATCCCCACAAAATCAAGCTTGATTAACAACCCCTCCTTCCACATCATATCATACGCCTTCTCCACATCAAAAAAGACAGTTACAACAGTCCTTGTTCCCCTGAGCCTTCCTGACCTCTGCTTCTAAGCAGAGCACTGGATCCATATCTCCCCTACCCTTCCTGAACCGGCGATACTAGCCCTCTGCTCTCCAGGAAGTAAGTAAGTTAGCCTCTCTGTGATCATACGTTCCATAATCTTACATACATGTGATGTTAAAGCTATTGGCCGATAGCGTGTTGGCTTCGTTGGATCCTTCCCGGGCTTCCGGATTGGTCCCACTACTGCCTCCTTCCAACTGCCTGGTAGTTTCCCCCTCCTCCCACACTCTGTTGTACAACACCAATACCTTATCATTTAACATTTTAGTCATTTAGCAGACGCTCTTATCCAGAGCGACTTACAGTTAGTGAGTGCCCAGGCCCACCCATTGCTTACGCCACTGCATGCCAAAGAACTGTATACTAATAATTAACACCACCCTTCTCCACTATTTAAATCTATTTATTCCTACCTCATGCCTCAGCCTGAGATGATGGGACACCACCACTTAACACTCCCTGTACCTCTTCTGATGTCAAGTCTCGCACACCCAAATACCTCTCTGCAGCTGCCAACACAACCTCGATTTTCTCCGACTTACGTTCCATCCCTGCAGTTCAATTAATAACCATTGCTGTAAACGCTAAAAATCCAATCTTACTGAAACATATATCACTTGTTGGTTTATCCCTCTGTACTGGTACAGATCTACTACTCACACCACTCCTCTCAGGATCCCTCCCCCTTGACCCATCTTCCTCTACTTTATTCACTGCCTCAGCATATGACAACTTCTTCTCTACTCTTACCCTGCAAACCTCAACCTGCTTCTCTGGCACTGGACATGTCTGATCCCCAGCCCCATGGCCACCCCTACAATTAGCACATACCACCACTTTCCCTACTGCTTCACACTCCTTAGTCTCATGCCCTTCTGCACACTTCTCACACCTTGGAATCTCCCTCCTACATACTGCTGCCACATGCCCATAAGTTTGACACCTGTAACAACGTAATGTATTCGGCACATAAGCTCGCACAGGATAACTTATATATCCTAATTTCACTTTGTCAGGCAAAGACTCAACTTCAAAACTCAAAAGAACAGACAACGACTCTTCTGTTTCATCACTCACGCCACCCTGTTTGCGTCGCACCAAACGACAAGCATCACAAACACCGGGAATCTTCCCCTTCAGTTGGTCCACTTTCACATTTACCGCTACCCCAGTAATCACGCCTTTCAATGGCGCCCTTTTCCTGAGATGGAAACAATTCACAATTCTTTCCCCCATCTGTTTAACTCTGAGCGCCTTCTCCCTCTGCCCAATAGAAACACAAACAATTATCACTAGACCACTTCTGGTTAACCCTCACCCTCGTCCTCCTGCTAGATATAAAGGGACGTTCTCATCACTGTTCCCTACTTTGCTCCTTTTTCCATTCTTTTGAACAATACTCCAATCCTCCTTGATTCTACCGCCATTAGAATCCACTTCATCGTCCGCCTCCGCCATCTTTTCTAATCTGTCGTACCCTCAACTGTCACACCCACTCCTCGAGTTTCTCCATCGGTCTCGAAGCAGTGTTCCAACGCTTGTAACGCTTTATCAGAAGCACATGATCAAATGATGTCCGAAGCTTCGTTTTATAGAACAACCACATGATTGGTTTAGTATTGGTTTCCATAGGCTACACTGAACACGCGCTACGGGGTGTGGGACGTCATCTATAATCATTTGGCTGCTCTAAATTCTTTTGACCAGCAGGGGCCACTAGTGTACACTGTGCTGATCAAAGCCTTGAGTACATTTACATTTTACATTTTAGTCATTTAGCAGACGCTCTTATCCAGAGCGACTTACAGTTAGTGAATACATATATTTTTTTTTTTATACTGGCCCCCCGTGGGAATCAAACCCACAACCCTGGCGTTGCAAACGCCATGCTCTATCAACTGAGCTACATCCCTGCCGGCCATTCCCTCCCCTACCCTGGACGACGCTGGGCCAATTGTGCGCCGCCCATGAGTCTCCCGGTCGCGGCCGGCTGCGACAGAGCCTGGATTCGAACCAGGATCTCTAGTATGAACCTATTTTGGACACAATTGTCTGTAAATGCTCAATGCTTCAGGAAGCTTCGTTTCCCCATCACTGAACTTACGATGTCTCCATATTTAGATCTCTTCAGTCCAGTGCTGGTTCTTGTTCCCATCAGCGTCTCGTCAGCAACACCGCTGTGAAGCACAGCGAACCGAAATACATAATTCCTTCGGGGAAGCTCCC